TTAGGAAAGTCTGACATGACGTTCAAGAAGACTATTGATCACCTACAATCAGGATTAAGGCTAATCAAACCTTTTGAAACCTCAATGTGAGCCCAACTACTACTCTACTAGCAGTTAGTCTGCTCTTTTACTAGTTCCTAACAAACCAAACCAAGGGAGAAAGCTGACCACTAAAACTTTAGCTTACTACAGGTACACAAAAAATAGTGTCAGCCTTTATGATTTGACCCCCTGTCCAAGAAAATATATTAGTATGAACTAAATCTGGTAGTGCATAGCAAAGCAAAAAAGTATTCTCAGGCCAACAATTTCAGTTCTTCAATTACTATGGTCGAAATTTCCTTCGAAAATTGTACACATATAGGAGCTCAAGTTACAAGCACTACCATGGATACAATACTCAAATGTTGTGTTCAATTGCCAAAACATAATGAGAAGTGTGAAGATTGGCATAACAAAGTATGACAGTGTAGAATCAAGAATTAGTTCATGTACATGACAAAAGATGCCGTGTAATAAGACTCATAGCTGACAATAGCAACTGACTACCATTAATTCTAAACCAAAAAATTACGCTCTTTATTACTATCAAAACAATTTGTGACCAAAGTGGAACACCTTATACATTGTGGAGGATTAGGACTTCAATGATTTCTAAAGAAAACACTTTTCTTTTCCCTTCTTTTTGCACTCAATAAGGAAATTTCTGAGAAACAATGTCAATGGATGTTGCCAGAAGACAAGACATAATGCTGTCAGTGCATGGATAAGGCACATACAAAGGCGAGGAGCAGCACATCGCAGCTTAGCAAAAGGTACATCATCCAGACGTGCCCAAGAACAATCAACAACAGCTAATCCTTTCTTATTAATTAACGGTTGATCTTCTCTTGAGACGCACTGCACCCCAGCAGGACTGAAACATATGAATGGTACCAAAAATAAATAGCATAATACAGATAAAAATAAGTTAATAATAAAACAAAACAAAAGACATGAAAAAGTAGGCCTGCAGATGTTTCAAAACTTTTTCATCCGATCATGCTAATTATCTAAACGAGAAAGTTACATTTGCTTTTGCATTCAGTTTCAAGGTCCAAATAGCTTTCTTGGCAGGAACTAAAAAGCATATTTTTTCTGTTTTGTCATTTGGGATCTGTCATGATCACAAAACATATTGGAAAAAAGATCCGTTATTCTTTGGTGATCAGCAAGTCTACCAAATTATGTATGTAAAGATAATTTTCTGTTAAATTATTAGTGATAAACAATTCATCAAGTTTCATTACAGGCCCGAATGAGAGACGCATATTCCCTAAAGGCTCATAAATATCTTTTCACTGTTCTTCTAGATTTTTATTTTTCAACCATTCCTTTTGAACGTGAATTCTCAACTCTATTGGAGAATCGATCAGTCTTGCAAACACAAGACTGAGCCATTAGATAATTTAGTATCAACTAAATACTGTCTGCCAATATGACTGAGAGCAATGGGCCTCCATGTGCAAGCACTTAGAGGTAGCCACACAGTTTTATGTCCTCAACACCATAAACAATATGAGGCTTACTTTCACAAAAAGCTTGCTCATTTCACTAAAATAAAAGGATATGATGGCTTTAACATATAGGATATTGCTGCTCACTCCTAAGAACAGGATTCATGACATAGAGAGGTTCCTTGTGCCTCAAGTTAAGTTCAGGGACAAGAAAGTGCAGAAAGTAGGCGATATATAATGAGGAAAATATTCCTTTCTTCCTTCTTATAAAAGTTTTAGCCATAACTCAGATTCCATATTCATTCATAACCAGATTAAAGAATACAACACGTTTAATAAGACTACACCATGGTAAATACCTCAAGACAATGCCGCCAAAACCACTACCGACACGCAACTCCTGCAAAACATTGGCAGTCAACTAATCAGAAGATTTTACATTGGCATCATTCCCACAACCACCAAAAAAAGGAACAAAAACTCTGTAACTTGTTATACAAGAATATTAGTGTATCAACGGTCAACCAAAAAACAACATTTCCTACAAATATTCAGAACAGACTGATACTTTCTTTCAACAAACCAAATCTTGCAAGCTTGCGCCCCGTACACCTTTTCGCATCACACTGGCCAAAATCCTGGAAGAAACAAAGTGAAGCAGTATACATTCAGCTAGAAATACTAAATTCGATAAAATTTGCTTTTTTTTCAAAATAGTAGCAACTTTATTCCAAGACTGACGAATTTCTTATAGTCCAAAAAATCACCATCTGAATACAACTATGACTCCCTGAAGCACACTCTTTCACAGTCTAAATCTGGAACGGGTAAAATTTTGTTTGACAATCCATAAAACTTCAAGGTTACAATTTCCAAAAATGTTGTCCCCAACTTAATAAAAGACCATCCCCCCGTTAACAATTCTTTTTTTCTTTTATTTTGTCAATAATACAAAATAAACGCAACTACAGAAAGAAAGCATTTTATTCAAAGTACTGCAACTTTCAGTGCATACCCACATAGCAAGCTGAATTGTAGGACCTGCTGGCACTGCTGCTTCATCAGCATTCCCTTCTTTATTATCACAACCGAACAAGGATATAAAATGGCAAACAATGCATTAAGTAGACGAGTAACACATTAAACTTCCGCAGAATAATAAAATCAAACACCTTGTTTGCATAATTCTCCCTTGCAGGTAAAACACGGATAACCAAAACTAGAGACAGAACGAAGACATCAGATCAAATCCATACCTGGGTCAATCGGTAAAGACTCATCATTCCTAGGCAATTAAAACAACATTAAAAAGAAAAAATTTAGCAGTTTATATCAGAAAAAGACATAAAACAAGAAAGAGCCTTGATTGTATGTTTGTACCAAGTTGGGTGAAGTGGCTGATGGGTTCGACTGGACTGGGCACCAGCAGCTCCACCCCGATGAGAGTGGTGATGGGTCTTGAACCGTCTCTGCTTATTGTTTCCCATTCTGATTGAAACTCAAATTGAAGTTGAGAAGAATTGCTTGGCCGGTTAAGCTAAACAAAACGACCTGTCGTGGCCTGTGAAGTGGGGAGGAAATGACTGTTTGTTAACTGGAATTTGAACAGGGAAACTTTTGTGACTTTCTGAGTTTTATAGATAAAAATTAAGCCCTTATATTTTTACTCTTGTCTCACCTATGCCCTCTCTGATTTCATTATTATCATTTTACCCCTTCTTAGACCTTGGGGGACAAAAGTAGAACCCCTTATATTGGTTATCTTTTTCCCCTTCTCTTTTTTGGTTCTAATAGTTGATAATTGACGATGCGATCTCTAGCTTGACCGACATAAGCCTTGCGGGGTTTTATTCCCCAGTTCCACTCCGATACTTAAATTAGTTATTGATTGAAAGTATTAAGTATTTACTAGTTGAATGGTTGGTTGCGTACCTCTTTTGTAAATAGTGAAAACGTATATATAGTTGAGGAAGCTATGAGGGAGATAAGGAGGTCTACTCCCTAACAGCTACTAAGAGACAGTTTATGACTGCGGTATCGGATGCAGGCCTAAATAGTAGGGTGGCTGATAGTCATGTCAGATAGTAGGGTGGCTGATAGTCATGTCACTGTTGGTCCTAAGTAGAGTAGGCGGCCAAGGTGTTTGGGGACTGAAGAAGCACGAAACTTTCCCGGGGAGAGCTGACCTGATCAGCTCGGTGTGCTGATGGAAGAGTTGATCCTAAGCCTGCAAAACAGAAAGGGTGAGCTGACAGAGGGGGCCCGAGGGTTGTCCCCGAGGGCGCTCCAACAGCCAAGTTAATTTTCCGGTGAGTAAGGTTCACGGAAAGTAGTGATAGTCTCGGGTAAATTGCCAATAGTGAGCGTACCTTGGGCAATGGGTGTGTAGCACTATCTATACCTGGGCCAGCGTCCGACCTCCGTACGTTCCAGGACCTTCCTGATATAATCTCAATCCAGCGCCGAGCGGGATCTCCTCCGACCTCTGCGGGACGGTCTCCTGATCCCCCTGGAGCCCTAGCGGGGGGGGCGGCCCAGGGCGGTCGCCAGGAGCCTGGGGCCGGAGCCCAACTCGGCTATATCTGGGCTGCCACGTGTCTAGCCCCAGTACGGGGCCTCTGCACTAACCCCCTAGATTAGGTAAGGCTTCCAGGCAGACCTAATCTATACTCTGCCACGTGGGAGACCAGCGTCGCGCACTGCTCTGCCCCAGTCACCTCTGGTGAAGTGCTGTCACTGAGAAAACCGCGCCGATCTCTTGGGTCGAGCGTCAAACTCCCAAGTTTCGACAAACTTGATCAATGCGTGCCGACCTCATGGGACCGAACATCAAATTGCCACTGACATGGTTTAAGCCCCCAACTTTTAAAGATTGGGGCCGAACATTGTACTTTCCGACTTCAAAATTTCAAGCCGTGCCGACCTCTTGTGGCCGAACATCATACTTTGAAGGCAGTCACGTCGACCTCCCGGGTCGAGCGTCGAACTTTGATTTTAGCGGATATGCCAACCTCTTGGAGTCGAGCATCACATTTCCAAGGCAGTTATGCCGACCTCCTGGGTCGAGCATTGAACTCCCTGATTTTAGCAGACGTGCCGACCTCTTGGGGTCGAGCATCACATTTTCCATGCAGTCATGCCGACCTCCTGGGTCGAGCATTACACTCTCAGGGCAATCGTGCCGACCTCCTGGGCCGAGCCAGCGTGCTCCCTGGTTTTGACAAGCTACCTCAAAGTAAGTCACGGCGTGCCGACCTCTTGGGGTCGAGCATCGTACCTTCAAGACGGTCATGCCGACCTCCGGGGTCGAGCGTCAGATATGTTAAAGACAATTATGCCGACCTCCTGGGTCGAGCACCAAACTTCAAAGGCAGTCACGCCGACCTCCTGGGTCGAGCGTCAGATATGTTAAAGACAATCATGCCGACCTCCTGGGTCGAGCACCAAACTTCAAAGGCAGTCACGCCGACCTCCTGGGTCGAGCGTCAGATATGTTAAAGACAATTATGCCGACCTCCTGTAGAGGGTTCCCTCGGCGTAGGCGTATTTGGCAGCTCGAAGATGGATTCGGCGAGCCTCGATTTTGTTCTCCGGGAGGGCACCCGAGCTGAGGAAGTCAACGAGGGGAGCCATCCAAGTGGCCGAGCTGTCTATCGTTAGGACCCGGACCTGGTCGATACTTTTCTGCTTCACCACCTCTACCAAGACCTCCTTGCTCAGGTGGGCGAACGAGGAGGACGCCAGCTTGGACAAGGCGTCCGCGCGCTTGTTTTGGGATCTCGGCACCCGCTCAATCTCAAAGGTCTCGAACAGGGCTATCGCCTCTTGTACCTTAGCCAGGTATTTCTTCATTACCTCGTCCTTGGCCTCATACTCCCCACGGATTTGGAGGACGACGAGCTGAGAGTCGCTTCGAACCCGGATCGCGGTGATGCCCATCTGGTAGGCTATCCGCAACCCCGTCAACAGGGCCTCGTACTCTGCCTCGTTGTTGGACGCAGGGAAGTCGAACCTAAGCGCATAGGTCAGTTCTTCCCCCGTGGGCGAGGTGAGCAGCAGGTCAGCTCCGCTCCCTTCCGTGCTCGAGGCGCCATCCACGAACAGCACCCACGGCTCCTCAGCCGGGGTGTCCGGGGGTGTCGGGGCTAACTCGGTCAGGTTCAAGTCAGCCCCCTCAGCAAGGAAGTCTGCCAAGGCCTGAGCCTTGATCGCGGTGCGAGGCCGATAAGTGAGGTCATGCTCGGCCAGTTCGACGGACCACTTGGTCATCCTGCCCGAGACCTCGGGCTTAGTGAGGATCTGGCGCAAGGGCTGGTCGGTCAGGACTACGATGCTGTGAGCTTGGAAGTAAGGGCGGAGCTTGCGAGCGGCGTGTACCAAGGCAAGGACCAGCTTTTCCACGGGCGTGTACCTCGTCTCTGGCCCCTGTAGGGCGCGGCTAATGTAGTACATCGGTCTCTGAGCCCCCCCGTCCTCCCGCACCAAGACCGCGCTGATGGCCTCGTTGCAGGCGGACAGGTAAAGGAACAGAGTCTCTCCTAGCTCCGGGGCGGTCAAAGTGGGCAACTCAGCCAGATAGGCCTTCAGGTCGGTGAAGGCTTTCTGGCACTCCTCCGTCCAGTGAAAGTCCTTAGACGCTTTCAGCACTCGAAAGAAGAGCAGCCCCTGACCGCGGAGCGCGAGAGGAACCTACTCAGGGCGGCCATTCTCCCTGTGAGCCGCTGGACTTCCTTCACGTTCCTTGGAAGAGCCATGTCTATGATAGCCTGTAGCTTATCCGGGTTGGCCCGGATTCCGTCTCGGGACACCAGGAAACCGAGAAACCTTCCCGATCTGACCCCAAAGGTGCACTTCTTCGGATTTAAGCGCATCCGACTCTTCAGTAGGATGTCCAAGATCTCCCGCAGGTCGGGTATGAGCCGCTGGTCAGTTCGACTTTTGACGATCATGTCATCGACATAGACCTCCATGCTTCTGCCGATCTGGTTTTGGAACAACTTGTTGACCAGGCGCTGGTAAGTGGCTCCCGCGTTCTTCAACCCGAACGGCATGGTCCTGTAGCAGTAGGTTCCCTCCTCGGTGATAAAAGAGGTCTTGTCCCGATCCTCCTTAGCCATCTCTATCTGGTGATATCCCTTAAAGGCATCCAGGAAACACAAAACGTCAAAACTCACAGTAAAGTCTACTAACCTGTCGATTCTAGGTAGGGGAAAGCAGTCCTTCGGGCAGGCTTTGTTAAGGTCTGTGAAGTCTACGCACATCCTCCAGGTCTGGTCGTCCTTCCTGACCAGACTATTGTCCAGCCAGGTCGGGTAGTAGACCTCCAGGATGATCTTGGACTCCAGCAACTTGCCAATCTCCGCCTTGATCACCTCATTCCTCTCGGGGGCAAAGCTCCTTTTCTTCTGCTTCACTGGTTTGAAGTTAGGGTCCACGTCGAGGTGATGGACTGCCAGGTCTGTAGGGATCCCAGGCATGTCCTCCACCGTCCATGCGAAGACCTGAGAGTACTCTCTCAACAAGGCCTTCAAGCCTTCCTTCTCCTCGGCTGGCAGCAATGCCCCGATGCGGATGACCTGATCGGGCCGATCCTTCCTTAGGGGGAACTCCTCAATCTCATCTTGGGTGCCCAACTGTTGGGCCTCATCTCCTGGGATGTAGGGCTCCAAACAGGTTGTCTGGGCGACCACCTTCTCCTGCCCCCGGAGCGTGGCCAGGTAGCAAGCCCTGGTTACCTCTGGGTCGCCGCGCACCTCGGCTATCCCTCCAGGGGTGGGGAACTTGACGCTGAGGTGGAAGGTAGAGGGAATAGCCCGGAGGGCGTTTAAAGCAGGTCTCCCCAAAAACACATTGTACGGGGACGACTGCTTGACCACCACGAAGTTAACGGGAACGGTCCGGCATTTGGGAGCCTGTCCTACTGTGACCATCAGGGTGATCATCCCTTCCGAGCTGATGGGTGGTCCGGTGAAGCCCACCAAAGGCGTCCGGACCGGGGTCAGCTGGTCATCCCTTAATCCGAGCTCCTTGAACGCCCGATAGAACATAATGTCCACCGCGCTACCCTGGTCGACATACACCTTCTTCACCCGGTAGTTGTTGGTAACAATGTCTATCACGATGGTCTCGTGGTTCCCGGAAGCCGGGGGGACCGCATCCCTTGGTCCGAAGGTAATCTCCTCGTCCATGCGCAAGCGCTTCAAGGAGTCGTCCCCTTCGGGGGGTGGTCGCTTGTTCTTCCGAGCTGCATGGCTGTCCCCCCCGTGGGGCCTCCGGCGATGGTGTTTATCACTCCCGCCAGGTTCTGGGTGTCCTGGTCGGGAGAGTGGCCCCGAGGAGCGTCACGCCGCTCAGGGCGGTCGCGTCACCGTCCCTCGTGCCTATCTCCGTAGTGGTTGCGCCCGAACTCCTGACCTAGTCGGCGCACGAATCTCCCTAGAAAGCCGCGCTGGATCAGGTCTTCTATCTCCTTACGCAGGGCCCAGCATCCCTCCGTGTCGTGCCCGGCGTCGCGGTGAAAGGCGCAGTACCTGTCCTGGTTCCTTTTGTTCCGGGGCGTCCCCATCTTGGGCGGCCGATCTCCCAGTCCTTCCGCCTCCATAACCGCCAAGATCTGGGCTCTGGGCCGTGTTAGAAGGGTGTAGGTCTCCTCTAGGAGTGGCGCCAGAGCAGGGGCCTTCTCCTTCGAGAGCCGGTCGAAGACGTTTTTCTTGGACGGGACGTCCTTGCCCTCTGGGGGGTTTGTCCGACCTTTCCGATCTCCGAGCTCCCGATCTGATTCTTTCTTCAGACGACCTGCCTCCTCCGCATTAGCGGCCTCATGCGCCCTGCGTAAGAGCTCCTCCAGGTTTACGGGAGGCTTCTTGGCCAGGTCGTAGAAGAGCTCCTCTACCCTGAGCCCATTTGTGAAGGCGGCCATGACCACTTTTTCGTCTTTGTCCCTGACCTGCAGGCTCTCCGCGTTGAAACGGGTCATGAAATTCCTCAGCGACTCATCGGGCCTCTGTCTGATGGACATCAGGTGAGTTGCGTTCCTCGCGTAGACCTTCGAGGAGACGAATTGGGTTGCAAACTGCCGGGCCAGCTCAGGAAAGCTCCGTATAGACCCCGGTTTCAGCCCCTGGAACCAGAGCCGCGCCTTCCCCTTTAGGAACATAGGGAAGGTCTTGCAGCGGACCTCATCCGCGGCGGTTTGCAGGCGCATATGCGTCAAGAAGACCGAAAGGTGGTCCTCCGGATCTGTAGAGGTATCGTACATCTCGATGCTCGAAATTTTAAACCTCCGGGGTAGGGGGTAGTCCTCTATCTCCCGGGTAAAAGGCGAGATTGCGTAGTTGTCCTCGTACTGCCGGGGCCTCAAGATCTGCTCGAGCTCATCCCGAGCAAGGTCCAAATGAAGGAGGTCCTGGGGTCGGCTCTTGACGGACCGAGCAGGGGAACGCTCGAGCCCATTTCGTGCGGGCTTCCGTGAGGAGGGGTCTCTCGGACGGCTCCTCGCGGACCGGTCGCGGGGATACCTCTCGCTGTCTCCGACCACCGAGGCTCGCGGGCGAGGTGGAGTTCGTGGTCGTTTCCTTCTGGGGGCTGGTCTCGGGACTCATCCTCCGAAGGGTCAGGGGGTAACTCTTTCTCCTTCCCCTTGGCCTTGGAAGTCTACGCACCCCCAGCCCCATCTCCCTCCTTCGCCTGTCGAATTATGTCCTCCAGCATGGGGAGATTCTCCGTCACGAACTGGAAGATCTGCTGCCTCCGTTCCCCTGAGAGGGCTGATCCCCCGGCTCCCTGAGACGCCTCAGCCTCCTTCCGCGGGGACCCCTCACCGCCCCCAGGGCCGGTGCTCTCTATCGTGCGCTTGGATCGCGTCCTGGCCATCAACACAATCTTACTTACCTTACGGTTCCCACAGACGGCGCCAACTGAAGAAGCACGGAACTTCCCCGGGGAGAGCTGACCTGATCAGCTCGGTGTGTTGATGGAAGAGCTGATCCTAAGCCTGCAAAACAGAAAGGGTGAGCTGACAGAGGGGGCCCGAGGGTTGTCCCCGAGGGCGCTCCGACGGCCAAGTTAGTTTTCCAATGAGTAAGGTTCACGGGAAGTAGTGATAGTCTCGGGTAAATTGCCAATAGTGAGCGTACCTTGGGCAATGGGTGTGTAGCACTATCTATACTTGGGCCAGCGTCCGACCTCCGTACGTTCCAGGACCTTCCTGATATAATCTCAATCCAGCGCCGAGCGGGATCTCCTCCGACCTCTGCGGGACGGTCTCCTGATCCCCCTGGAGCCCTAGCGGGGGGGGCGGCCCAGGGCGGTCGCCAGGAGCCTGGGGCCGGAGCCCAGCTCGGCTATATTTGGGCTGCCACGTGTCTAGGCCCAGTACGGAGCCTCTGCAGGGACCTTAGGTGAAGGTAGGAATATAGTGAAATAGCTATTTGGGATGAGCTCGCCAACTAGCTCGGCTGAAAATGACCGAGACTATGTGTCTCTTGTCCAAACGGGCTGTTTGGGCTAATGGGGTCTGAACTGTTCAAGGCGTCCACAATAATCTTTGGCAATAACAAGAGTTATTAATTTCTCATATCTATATATATGAATGTGTATATCTGCATGTATGTACGTAATACTTATAATTCTGAGGCATGCATAACACTTTTTTTTTCTTTTTAGCCCTATATTTCACATAGTTAACCTGTTTTTCTTCCCTCTCAATAATTCTCACCTTAATAGCTATTGAAAATGTTATTTAGTTTGTTACCAAGTTTAAAAATGAATTATCCAATTTTGAGCTCTCAATATTATTGGTAATTACTCTTGAAATTAAGAGGATACAATAACTTTCCATTAATTAGTTTTCCTTCTGAATATGGTAAGCTAATTAATAAGCATGCATCGAGTATTGAAACAGGGTTGGACCAATATAATTTGTAATTATCTTTTCGATTTAAGGGGGATTCTAAGTAATACGGTAGGAAAGAGGAGAAAGGGAAGAGTATGATTGCCAAACTTGGAACTTTTAGTTACATCTTGAAGTTTTCAAGTAAATGGCCGAGCTGGTAAAGATTGGGTTGGACCACTGCACATTGCAAGGAGAAAAGGAAGGAATATGGGTGGTAATGATTTTAGAAATGCCGGTTTTCATTTTCTTTGAAAGGTGGAATTAGAATCGAACCTTTAAGAACAATTACAGCTATGGTTTTAGAACCTCTAGTTCTAATTCCAGCTTTGGTCCCAATTACTTCTGGATACATTTTAATTCTTTTTTGCTTCCAGTTTGGGTTCTTTCTGGACAAATGTATCCCTTGTGGTTACAAAATTAATTCAAAGAGAATAAGACAATGAATTTAGAATAAGGAGAAACTAAAGCAAAAAAAAAAAAACAAAAAAAAGGCTTTTATTATATTATGTGTTGTTGAGAAAAGAAGATATGATACAAAAATTTTTAATGAACACCTCACATTTTTTGAACATTTTAAATTAAAGAAAGTGTGCGCCATTTTCTTATTGTAATTGAAATGGAAAATAAAAAATATCCAAGACATGATATGGTTAAACCATGGACAACGAAATGGGGCGGGCTGATAAAGATTGACTTGGACCATTGCATCTTGTAAATTTTCGGCTAAATTGGTATGGGCTAACATATGGTCTTCATCTCAACTTTGATTTGTTCTTGCCAAACAAAGGCCCAATCTGATCACATGTTGCCTTTAAAAAAAAAAAAAAATGAAGCGCTTTTAAGCACTAAAAATGTTTTTGATAACTGATTTTTTGCAACATAAAGAGCTTATCTTTTAACAAGTTAAACACACTTGTGTCAAAAGTGCTTTTTTTATAATGCACGGCAGCCCCAAACGAAGCTTAGTGTCAAAATATGTTGTTTCCCTTCAATATTAATGTTGATAATTAATAACAATAATCAGTCAAACTGGAAAGTTTTGAGGATAACTCTCTTATATTTTAAAAAAGAGTAGATGCTGATCATAGCCTTAATTAAGGATAACTGTTAATTAATTTTGGGTGTTGACCCATCACAATCTTTGCTTCTCAGCCATTTTGCCTCCTCTCATTCTTCCAACATTTAATCATGTAAATTAACAATAAAAAAAAAAACCATTTTCCATCTGAATATGTTTACAAGTAGACTTACCAACAATTGAATAGACCTGATCGAAGTGATCATAGCTTAAGTACACCTTTATCAACGATATTTACATATATATATATATATATATATATATATGAACATACCTTAATATTCTCTAGACTACAATATTTAACAAGTAATTTCCATTATATATCAGTCAAAAGTCCTTCTTTTATATATACTCTATATCTTGAAATAACTCTTCTTCAGCCCAATTTCCAACCTTTTCATTTGTTTGTATAGAAGGTACTTGAAAATTGGTATTGGAGTTAAACATTTGGAACATATTATGACTTTCTAAAACAAATATGATGAATATGTAAGACTATTATTATTGATTTTTTTTTTTGTGAATTATCTGTTCTTGCACAAGTTCACACTAATGAAATAAAAGTAAAAAAGTTTTGCTAATCCACTTATTCCAAGTCCGAGAAGAGAACACATATTTCGGTATCCTAAGCTTATTGCATGGACTTCTTGGATGCAAGCAACTTAATTAATTTGACATGCTATACTCGTTTCTCACTCTCTATTTTAGTGTACTCAATACATGAGAATAGCGCTGTGAGAAAAATAAGAAGTGACATAGAAATTAGGATTTTAGCATGAGCATCGAATCCTTTGGCTGGTAGTTGGAGGTGAGAATGATGTGAGGAAGGATAGGAGAGTAAAAAAAAATAAAAATAAAAAAGCATTTTAGCATGAATTGGGATAGAAGGTGCAAAACCTCGTAAAAAATTACTTGTATAAATCGCCAATACCTAATAATTTAATGCAATAATACCTTGACTTTTTAAGTGCAAAAAATAAATTGTCCAATATTAGACACGAACACATGGGCCGGGTGCATTAGGGCAAGGCTTGACTTCTCTCTAGCGAATTCTCTCTCAATTTCCTGCAATCCGCATTTGGATGTATGACACATATTTTCATTTATTAATAAATGTTAGGATTAATCAAATTTAAAATGATCATATTCCTTTCTAATAAATAAAGATATATGACATGTATTTAGTTGTGCGCTGTGAAAAATAGAAAGAAGCCAAATCCCACTAGGGCACACCAACAAACAAGTGGTATTAAGAAAAAACTGAACAAATTTTTTTTTTTTAAAAAAAAAGACTTTCTAATGAAGAATTACGATGTTTAAATTTGAAAAATACGTGGAAAGATTTGGCAAAAAAAAAAATATAAGATTCAAATTTTATCTTGTACATCATTTTTAACACCATATGTGGAGTCTACAAAAATTTGTTCTATATAGTTACACGTTGTGCAAAGTGAGTTATATCGTGTGCAAATTAACTTACATCCTGTGCTTGTGGGATGTAAGCAAGTTGCAAGAGTTTTAAAAACAGATGATTAACTGTTGGATTACGTTGTGCTTGCGGGATAGTTAAACTATAAATCAAGTGGACTATGTAAATAAAAAAATTTTTATAATAAAGAGATGAAATTTTTTGAATGGTGCGCACATCATTAGCAGGGGCGGAGGGAAGGGGGGGCCAGGGGGGGCAACCGCCCCCCCTCCAATTGTTAAAAAAAAATTTCTAAGTAAAAAAATTTTTATTTTATTGTTTTGCCCCCCCAAAATATTGATAAAAATTTTTACTTTGCCCCCTCCTAAGGGTCCAAATAATAATGTTTGAAAGTTATTTGGACAAAGTCCAAATAACAGAGACTCGTCCCCCCTAATTGCAATTCCTAACTCCGCCACTGATCATTAGTATGCTTAAATCGCATCTAACTTATTATATGAATATGCACACTCATATTTATTACATCTTCTTTTGTATTTAGATACTTTTTTAAATTAATTATATTTTTTGAAAAAAATAAAAACTATTAACAGTGTATGTCGGGCAGTCGTAGTGAGATCAATAGAGGCTGATTCACATATGATTATATTTACCAAAAAAAAAAAAAAGACAATAGATGATCTACTAAATAAACAGATGTTTGTTAGGTTCAAAAAGACTAATATCATTTGGAACTGGTTGGGATTCATACTATAATATTCGTAATTTTCTCACATATGATGCATTTGTAGATTTTGCAGATTTGCTATTTCTGTGACATATTGATAATGTTTTTTTTTTTTTTTTTATCGTTAGTAC